GTTTTCATACCTATTGTATCAAAACTGGGGGTACTTCTCAGGTTAAGGAGGTTAATAGCCTATTGACTATAATAACAAATGTCACTTCACCTTGACTCGTCTCTCATAAGCCAATAATGCGCTAAATGCGAGCAACACGCAATGAGGCATGCCACGCGACCTAAGCCTTCTTCAGTAAGTGTGTTTACATGGACAGGTTATTCCCGATACACTTGGTAGCACTAGAAGTCATCCCGACGCCAACGAATCCAATGGATTTATCGATGGTTATTGTGAACACCACAAGCGGTGGTCGTCCTTGGATCAACAGGAAGAAATGTTCAGTCCTTTGACACTCGCTGTGGGAGTGTTTGGTGAAGCTGCTAGCTTTGATTGAAAATCACGCGGATTCCAATTAGATCAAAAAGCGCTAAATAAACGCTTAACACTTTTGCAGCGATAAGTAAGAATTATTGGGGGGGTTATCGCGAAACATACCGCCGCCGGTTCCGTCAGCTCCCTGGTGACACTGTCGGCACACACGGAATGCCCCGTGAATATCGAGTTGAAAAGCTTTACCAAAACCGAAATTACAAATCTTGCGTTCTAATGAAAATTGCTATCACGATGGCTCAAATTCGTGATGACCGTAGTCAAGTGACTTTTGCCTTGTCGCATTTGGATGGCCGTGCAAAGGATTCAGTGATGATCTGGGAAGTCAACTGCCCTGGCTACTTTATCACATGACAAGAATAGAAAAAGGCCATGAACTTGATGTTCCTTCCACCGAATGCGGCATTTTTACAACAGTCGAAATTTTATCATGCCGTCAAGACAACGGTGCATTGTACAGAAGCTCCGTGATCTTTGTGCCAATATGGCAACTGAATCACTGCCAGAGGCAGTGATGATCGCCGTGATTATGGTAGGACTCTCTTATGATCCTCTTAAGACTGAAATTTTCCCACCAGAGCTCGACGACTCCGAAAGATGTAATTATGATTTTGTTGCGTGAGGACAACTGTCAGCGTCAAGCATGTGGTCAGTTGGGAATATGATGGAAGTAGGGACTGCTGC